CCCACTCCTCACCATAAAGCTGGGCTAATTCACCACATTCTTCTGTTCACTAACAGCACTAACCACAAAGGGCTATGTCTGTTGAGAGTGACACAGCTGTAAAGCACACCCTTCACAGGCGCTGAGTGAGACAGAGACAGTGAGACCTCACACGGACACTCTACTCCAGCACTCTGCTAGCCACCACAGCGCTCCCCCCACCCACTCCACAGGTGCAAGAGGCCAACATAATCAGCTTCTAGACAACCCTGCTTTCAGGGACACACACATCGATTTCTGAAGGATCTCATCCGCAAAAGATAACCAGCCTCTCATGTGCCAAAGGAAAGAACTAAATTTGACCTGCTCTCTACTCAGATTTGCCAAGTATTTGTTGAAACATCACATATTAAAAACACAGATCTCTCCATATTTCACGTGTAGACATGACGGCACAAATATCCGTGAAGTGGTCTATGCTCATCTGACAATCTGCTCCTATGTGTTTCAGGCTACAAAGTTAAATCATAGAAGTTGTAAAAGTAATTACAAGGTAAATGAGGTTCTAACTGGTTTTAGGCATACAAATTCCTTAAGAATCTTGCTTGTAATGCAAATTCTGGGTCACTCGAGGTTTTATTATCAAATGTTTGAATTGTGAGAGTGCTCTGCTTCTTCACCTTTGGCTAGTTTTCACTGTTCCTCAGCATCTTCACCAGGGAGCAGGGAGGACAAAGGGTAGGCATCCCTTATCCTCCAATCCATCCTCCTCTGGGCCACATGAGTAGTCCAGCTAGAATACAAAGCTGCTTGTGTCTCTGAGGCTCCCATCATCTACAAGATGAAGGTCAGGTTCCTTAACAGGGCATTCACAGCTCTCCCTGAACCCATCCTGGCTTTCTCTTCCAGCTTCAATTGTAGCTGCTCCCTGCTGACTCCCTGTCCTCCAATATTATGAACAGCTTGTTGTTTCCCCATACACACATGCTAGCTTTTATTCCGGAGCCTGTTAATACCCTTCTTCTGCCACCCACCTGCCTATCTTTAAGATTCAGTTTAAGTGTAATCTCTTCCAGGAAGGCTGCCTTGGCCTTCCTCCCATGCCCACCCACAAATTGGGTTAGGTACCTCTTCTGGTGGTTTTGTTATTCCCTAGGAATATCTCTGCCATGCATATTCCATGTTATTATTATCATCTGTTTATGTGGCTGTCACCCTTACAAGACTGTGAGTTATTTCATGTTGAGAACTATGTCTTATATCATCCTCATGGCTTACTACCAAAACCTGGAACACTCTTAGGAGCTGAATAAAATGTTTTTGAATGATTAAATAAACAAGCATGATTGAATAAAAAGTTTTGTGGAAAATGCCACTAAAAGCTTTAATGAGCTAAATAGATGAAGTTATAGGCAAAATAAAATGAATTTTCAGAAATATCCAAGGATTTCGATTTTCTATCTTCTTCCTCTTCCAAAATAGCACAAATAATTTAAAATAATCTTTCTTTCTTTAGTAGGCAGCCCCGTAACTCTTTGTCCAAAAAGCAATGTAAATTTGAGAAGATTAACGGGATATAATTAAAGCAGGGCTCAGAGGAAAATCCATAGCTTTAAATATAGTAAAAAACAAGAATTAATGAAAACAAATTTAGCACCCAACTCAAGAAATTAAGAAGAAATAACAAAATAAACTTAAGGAATTGGTAAAGATGAAACAAGAAAATAATGAACTAGAAAACAATAGAATGAATAAATATATCCAGAATTAACTTTATCAAACATGTGTGGGGGCAAGGGGAAGAGGAGAGATATCCATTAAGCTTATCAGGAAAATCAAAAGAGAAAAGAACACATAGCTACAAAATGGGAATTGAAAATAAGGAAATAACCATTGTTGCTATTGTGTGCTGTCGAGCCAATTCCAACTCATAGTGACCCTATAGTGACCCTCTAGGATAGAGTAAAACTACTCCATAGGGTTTCCTAGGCTGTAATCTTTATGGGAACAGACTGCCAGGTCTTTTCTCCTTCAGAGCCACCGGTGGGTTCCTACAGCTGACCTTTTGGTTACAAGCTGAGAGCTTAACCATTGCGCCATCAGGGCTCCTTGGAATTAACTACAGGTAAGAGGAAATCAAAAGTATTTAAAGAGATTACTGGACATAGCATTATTTCTGATGATAGCTAAGTTTAACCTTCTATACCCATAGTCCATAGAGAAGACCAAGGCTCCCACCACTTCCTGTTTGGATGCTCACCTTTCACCAGAAAGCTATAGACATTGTATTACTTGCCTCAGTAAGTAAAAAACCTAAAGCAACTTTCTTTCAAACAGCTAGGAAAAAAAGGAAATGGCTAGTAAAGAAATGTACCAGAGCCTATATTAAACCATTATATGCTGTTAGGTATTTACCAGAAAAAGAATTTTCCAAACTCCAAGTTAAAGAATTACCTTCTCTGAAGGGAAGGCCAAATAACATGACTGAACTTTTCAATCATAATGTCTCCCCTACCCTATAAGATAGTACATTTTAATAGCACAATATTTTATCCAAAAACTTAACTTTTTTCCAAATCAAATTAGAAACCATTCATTATTGAATAGATTACCCTTCTTTGGGTAAAATCATATTTTCCAAGTATATGGCATTTAGATTTCACAAAGGTTTCTGCATACTATGCTCATGACCCTGTTATCCTCATCATCAAATGAAGATCTTGAAGTTGAGAGAACTTCAGTGAACTGCCCAAGATCACACAGCTAGTCAGTGGCAGAACAACACAGGTCTTCTGATGGCTTATCCAAATCTCTCTCTACTATTCCACCTGCTTATTACATACTACAGTACCTCCCTCGGTACTCTACCTAGCACTAACCAGCCTATTGCCAAAACTCTAAAAGTTAAGGCTCACATCTAGTGGCAAGTTTGGATCCCTAGGAACAGGAGTCTGATGGACTCACTAGCACTAAAGTTCTCAAGGAGGCTGGTGGTGCAAGGGTTAAGTGCTCGGCCGCTAACAGAAAGGTTGATGGTTTGAACCTGCCAAGTGGCTTTGCAGGAGAAAGACTTGGTGATTCGATTCTGTAAAGATTACAGCCAAGAAAACCCTATAGGGTAATTCTACTCTGTCACATAGGGCCGCTGTGAGTCGGAATCGAATCGAGGGTACCTAAACATCAAAGTTCTGTCCGTGGGTGATGTAAACAGTTAAGTGTTCAGCCATTAATTGAGGAGTTGGCAGTTTAAATTTCACCCAGAGATGCCTCGGAAAAAAGACCTGACAGTCTACCTCCAAAAGATCACAGCCATTGAAAACTGTATGAGTGCAGTTCTACAATGACATATATGGGGTAGCTGTGAGTTGCAAGTGACTCAACTGCAACCGGGTTTTTTTTTTTTTGGGGGGGGGGTTGGTGCAGATAGTTTTTCTTAGATGAGAAAGATAGACTGAAGGAAGGTGACTTCCCAATACGGATAAACTCACCTCAGATCTTGCCACTTTATAACCTCTGAAGTCTACCAGATGATAGGAGTTGAAAATATGTTAAGTACTAATAATGTTTTTTTACTACAATCTCAAAGCAAATCTCTTAATGTCTTGGTGCTTCCAGCTATTCATCTACAAATTGGAAGCGTGTATTCTAATCAGTGACTCAGTGTCAAAGGTGTAGCAAATCACGGCCCTCTCTTCCTCAAGAGCAACCTGACATTTCAAACTTCCTTCCCATTCTACATGGTCATGATATTCTATTACCAAATATACTAAAATGTAACTACCCAACTCTTTTTTAAGTCTCAACCCTGCCCTGGTAAGATCCTCTGCTTCCTCTTTCACATTAGGCCTCCTCATTCACTCTCTTCAAACTATTAGGGATTTGAAAACAAAAAAATTACTGTGGGATGAAGCTGAAGTGGAGTCAACTCCTTGAGAGGCTTACCTTTAGTTTTGGTCCTACATTTTTATACAGAGAAATAGGGCACCACCAGGGAGCAGTGTGTTGCCTACTTTTAGCATGTGCCTGAAGTAGTTTTCAGCTTCATTTTTTTCTAGACTTATCACTATAGAGTTGACACCAATTAAGGAATTTGACACAACGGAGATATAGCAAGATACAACTATGGAGTTAAATTATAATAATTCTTTTGGAGGACTTTGATTCTATTTAGCATTAAAGGAGAGGAAAATAGGATTTCTAGTTAAATACCTTGGGGATAATCAGCAAGGAAGAAAAGAGAATCCACAAAGTTCCTGAAAGTTTCATCTAACTTCATTGTGTTGTAAGCTTGTTAATATATATAAACCCCTTGTTGTCGAGCTGATTCTGACTCATAGCAACCCTACAGGAGAGTAGAACTGCTCCATAGGGTTTCCAAGGAGTGGCTGGTGGATTGGAACTGCCAACATTTTGGTTAGCAGCCAAGCTCTTAACCACTTAGCCACCAGGCCTAATATATATATACATAACTAAAAGTCAAAATCCTGGAATCTATTTCCAGCTCAACCATAAACATGCTGGATGACCCTGATCATGTCACCTGTTTCAGCCTCAGTTTCTCCTACCTGTAAAATGGGGATAATGCTATGCATTGGATAAGGGTATATTGAAACAGTTCATTAATACCCATAAAACATCCTAGATCATGAGTTAAAAAACAAAAAACTAAAAGTAATGTTATGACACTCTGATAAAAAGATTTATAAGACTAAAACTCGCTGAAAATTTTACCGAAGAAATTAGTTTTAAAGGTTCTTTAAAAGTATATTTTACAGCTAGATATTCAAGTCTGTTTATCTATGAAATAGGAACATGATGGCCAGCAGCTGACTTAACTTTGCAATACCACTGACAGAAAGTCATCTTTAAAGTTGAAAAGAAACACTTTTGTTCCTTTCCAAACCAACTACTAACCATTCAAGAGGCATCAGTAGATGTGAATCGGTCAAGACAGAGAAGGACAAAGCACCCAGTCATTAATTCTATTCTTGAGTGCGAAGAGCTCTTCACACCGTCCATACCTGCTGGGTTAGGAGACTTATGTGGCTGGATGGAGAGTACTGCCGTGCCGCCTGCTTCTCAGCTAGCCGCTGAAGTTCAGCTGTAACCACACTTTGGCTGTACTGTTTGCTGTAGGATGAACCATCCTCTCCCTCCCTTTGTGCTTTGGCTATAGCTGAATGATGCTTGCTTGGATGGCATGAACCAGCTAAAAAAGAGAAAAAATTCCACTCGCTTAGGAAAAAAGTCCTAAAAAACCCTAGAAAATGACAAAGAAATCTCAGGCCAACAGATACTTTACTAATCCCAGGGACCTCTGATAACTTAAGGAGCAACGAACTATTTTCAAATGCTCACAAAAATAAAAACAAATCCTTACCATACCCTGGAAACTCTTCCTACCAAATTATTACATGCATTTATTAATGTATTTTTGCTTACTACGAAAGCTTCACAAAGAAGAATTCTCATCATATGTAACTGGGAATAACCAATCCTAGAATTTACTAATCTTAATGAGTAAAAAAACTTATTCTCAATTTCATTATAATTTGTTTGTTTTTATGTGATTGTACTTGTCAGTAGTCTGAGGCAACCACTGTCAAATCATTCATAATACTTCTTAAGAAGCTCAACAGAGAAACAGGAATAAAGGCAAAACTGAGTGTACGAAGACAATAGCAATACAAATATAATCTCAAATGACTGAATTTCCTTTAAGATTTAAATTTTCTTCTTTCAATTAGGTATCAGAGTTCTACTATTTGTGAGCACTAAAACTGTGGCAAAAAGAAATTATCTGATATAAAATCAAAGTTGGTATTTTTCCTGATTATTAAAGTCACACATTCCAATGGAAAAAAAATTTTTTTTTAAACCTAGGAAAGTATAGAGGGAGAGAAATCATCCGTAATACTACCACTCAAAGTCTACCATTACTAATGCTAACATTAATTAACACTAACATTACTATTATTAACATATTAACATTAATGGGTTCCCTTTCTGTCTTTTTATTAATGCTTACATAGCCCATGATCATTCTGTATACAATTTGGTGATATTTCTTAAAAAAATAATCTGCAGTCTTTTCATGTTTAATAATTATTTGATACATACAAAACATTATTTATGACAGATGTATGTTATAAAGCATACTATAACAAACACCTGTGAACTTCTACCCACCCCAAGAACTACATTACCAACAACATACATCAAGCCTTGTGTCCTCCTCATTTCTTCTCTTATCAATCCCTTTTTTGAAATATAGTTTTACCTTATGCATGTATGTGTGTGTGTTTGTGTGTGTATATATGCATATCTAAACAAAGTACTAGTGAATTTTGCTTGTTTTGGGGCTCTATAAAAATGGAATCCTATTGTAGTAGTTACCTGGGACTGACATTTGTTATTCAACACCATACCTCCAAGATTTATTCTTGTTATTTCAGTATCACTGAAATGCATTCATTTTATCTGCTGATATTTCATGTTGTGACTACATCACAACTTATTTTTCTATTCCCCCATCAATGGATAATTTGGTTATTTCCAGCTTTTTGCTCTTATAAACATGGCAGCCATGAACACTCTAGCATACATCTCTTGGTGTACATGTGCAAGAGCTTCTCTTGGCTATATTGCCTAGGAGTGGAACTGCTGGATAACAGGGTATGTGATTTTCAAATTTATGAGATAATACGAAAGTGATTATACCAATTGACACTCCCACAAACTATAAGAGTTCCTACTGATCACTTTCTTCTCTAACATTTAGTATTGTTAAGCATCCTAATTTTTCCCTAAGCCAAACCCACTGCCATCAAGTCTAATTCCAGCTCACAGTGACCCTAGGGGACAGAGTAAAAACTGACCCACTGGGTTTCCAAGGCTGTAATCTTTACAGAAGCAGACTGCCCATTTTCTCCCACGGAGTGGCTGTTGAGTTGAAACCGCCAACTTTTCAGTTAGCAGCAGAGTGTTAACCACTATGCCACCTGGACTCAATTTTTCCCTAAAAGTGTGTAAAAACTCATTGTAGTCTTAATTTACATTCACCTGATTAATAAGGACATTTGGCAAGTGTTACCTCTTTTCTGATATGCCGGTTCATGTCTTTTGAAATTTTTTTATTGGGTTGTCTTTTTATTATCGATTTATATGAGTTTTGTTTTTACTTTTGTTACCTACCACAAGATCTTAAAGATGGTCTCTTATATTTTATTCTATAAGTTTTGTACCTAGAATTTATTTTATGCATGGAGTGAGGCAGGGATCTAATTTCACTTTTTTCTCTATGTGGATAACCAATGTCCTAGCACCATTTATTGAGGAAGTCCTTCCTTTCTCCACTGATCTACAATGCCACCTCTGTCATATATCAAAGTTCCATCTGTCCATATGATTTTTTCTGGGCTTTCTACTCCATTTCATTGGTCAATTTGTCTGTCCTTTTGTCAATACCACATTGTCTTAATTGTCATACCTTTATATTAAGTTTTATATATGTGCTCCTACACTTTACTCTTCTTCAGGAGGTTCTCACTTTTGCCTTTCTATTATTTTAGAATTAGCTTGTCAAGTTCAACAACAAACCTGTTGAGATTTCGGCTGGAACTGGATTGACTAGAAATCAACTGGATGAGAACTGAAACATTTATGATGCTGAGTCTTGGTTGTCATTAGATGGAATAGACTCAATGGCAATGGGTTTGGTTTTGTTTTATCCATGTACATGGTATATTTATCATTTAGGTTTTCCCTAATGTCTTTCCTCAAATTCTTTAAAATTTCCCCTTTTCTAAATTCATCCTTAGGTATCTTATAGTTTTGTGCTACTGTATGTGATGTTTTTTGAAACATTGTTTTGTTTACTCCTTGTTGCTAGTATATAGAAAAGCTTTTGGTTTTTAAAATTGATCTTATGGCCATATATAATGCTAAACTATTTCTAAAATGTACCAATTGATTATTTTTATTTTTTATGTAGACAAGATATTATCTGCAAATAAATTTTATTTACTCCTAGTTAATCATTATGCTTTTAATTTTTTTCTGGTCTGAATATGCTGGCTCTGATCTCCAGTAAAACACTGAATGTTAGTGGGCATCCTTGTTTTGTTCTTGATGCTAAAAGGGAATACTTTCGACCCTTCCCCCATTTAGAATGATACCTCTTGTAGGTTTTTAACAGACACTCTTTTTCAGATTTCCTTCTCTTCATAGTTTGCTGAAAGTTATTATGATGGGTGTTGAATTTTATCAAATTCTTTTTCTGCATCTACTGAGATGATCATGTGGCTTTTTCCCTTAATTTGTTAATGTGGTAAAAGACACTTCTAGGGTTTCTAGTGTTAAAACCCACTTATTTCCTTGGATAAACTTGCTCATGCTCATGGTATACTATCTCTTTCATACGTTGCTAGATTCAGCTGGCTTATATTTTGATTAGGATTTTTGCATTTGTATTCATAAATGAAGTTAGTCTGTAATTTTCCTAATACTGTCCTTAACTGGTTTTACTGCATAGATTAAACTAGCCACACAGAATGAGTTGAGAAGTATTCTCTCTTTTCCATCCCCCAGTAGAGTTTGTTTAATAATAGGATTATCTGTTACTTAAAAGATTGTTAAAAGCCTATAATACTACCTGGGCCTTATGCTTTCTTTGAGAAAATATAAACTACTATATCAATTATTTTAATAGTTATAGGACTATTTGGGTTTTCTATACCTTCTTGAATCAATTTTGCTTAAGTTATATTTTTGCAGGAATTTGTCCATTTTGTGTAACTTTTCAATTTTATTAGAATAAAGCTGTTCATAGTATTCTATTATTTTATTATCTATGCCATATTTGTATTCATCAATTCTGCTTTTCCATTCCTTATATTATTTATTCATGCCTTCTCTTTTCTTGATAAACCTCATCAGAGGTTTGTCCGCTTGACTAGACTTTTCAAAGAATTACCTTTTGGGTTTGATACTCTCTATTGGATTTTGTTTTTGAATTCTGGGATTTCTGCTTTTGTCTATTATTTCTTCCCTTCACCTTTTTTGGATATGATTTTTAAATAACTTTTGATTTATGATATTGTGCTAATGTGACATTTAGCACATTAATTTTCAGTTTTTCTCCTTTTCAAATATAGTAAAGGCAGTAAATCTACCTCTAAACCTTCCATCCATTGCTCTCCACATATTTGGTCAGGCAGTTTTCTATTATTATTCAGTTCCAATGCTTTCTAATTTATTTCCATTATGACTTCTTTTACTCTTTTTAATTTCTAAACACACAGGGATTTGTTATATATCTTAATGTTACTGACTTTCAACTTAATTGCATTGTGGCCAGAATGTGGCCTGTGTGATGCCAGTTCTTTGAAATGTTTTGTTTTATAATGTAGGACACAACCGATTTTTTAAAATGCATCCATGTGTGCTTGAGAAGGTGTTTTTCTCTAATTGTTGGGTGCACAGTCCTATATGATCAACAGATAAAGTTTATTATCTTGCTCAAATCCTCTTTACCTTCACTGATTTTTAAAAATCTGTTTAGTCTTAATAATTGATATAAAAACAAACAACCAAACAAAACCCAAATCCATTGCTACTGAATCAATTCTGACTCACAGCGACCCTGCAGGACACAGTAGAACTGCCCCATAGAGTTTTCAAGAAGCACCTGGAGGATTCAAACTGTTGACCTTTTGGTTAATAGCCGAGCTCTTAACGACTGTGCCATCAGGGCTCCTCTTATAACTGAGTATTATAATTATCCCCATTTTGCAGATGAAGAAACTGGGGCACAGTTACGTATTAGGAGTGAGTTGTGTTAATAATTCATTCAAAAGCCATCACTTGTCTCTGAGATGACAAAGAGCATATTATTTTCAAAGAACCAGAATTATGGCAGAAAACCCAAGTGCAAATGAGACAGACTGCAGAGGCCAGACTTTCATGGAAATCTTCCACATGACAGTGGATCTGTAGATTCTTCATGTAGTAGTATCAATTTTTGCTTTATATATGTGGAGATTATTTTATTAGGTGCATATACTTCTAGAACTATTTTATCTTTTGGCTGAACTGTAACTTTTACCATTACGTAGTTACTCTGTGTATCTTTAAGAAAGATTTTCATCTTAAAGTCTATGTTAGCACATATTAATGTAGCTTCACAGGCTTTCTTCTACTTGGTATTTACCTAGTATTTCTTTCTTCATCCTTTTATTTTAACCATTCTGTGTCCTTATCTTTAGGTGTGAGTCTTATAAACTGTATAGTTAGATTTTTAAAATTCAATCTCAATCTTATAACAAGTTTAAGTTCAATTCATTTTGTTTATTTGAGTCTTGATTTATTTAGATTTGGTTTTATATCTTTTGAATTTCTATTTCTCTTGCTTTTTTCTATGCTTCTTGCTTCTATGCTCCAGTTTGTTCCTGTTTCTTTTTCGTTATTCTATTTCTCTTCTCCCCATAGGTTTAGAATTTTTATATTCTTTTAGTGGTGACCTCTGAAATTTGAAACACTTGAAATTTAAAAAGTCTAAGGTTAAATAGTACCTTAACCTCTTTCCCAAACTATTCAATCATCATGGAAAAATTTAACTCCATTTACTTTCATGCTATTGTTGTCTACTATTTTATTGCACTAGTAGACCATAAAGAAGCCTTGAAAAATTTCAAAAGATTTAAGTCATGCAGAATATGTTCTCTGACCACTGTGGAAATAACCTAGAAGCCAATTACACAAAGTAGAAAATCCCCAACTATCTGGAGATTAAACAATATACTTCTAAATAATCCATGCGTCAAAGAAGAAATTATGAAATATTTTTGAACTGATCAGTTTTTTCCCTTCCCGATCCCTCTCTGGAGAAAGGCATAAAAAAGCAAGGTTTCCAAAAAGAGTTTTGAGGATAACACAGATTACTGGAGACATTAATCTTACTGAATTTCTCACATGGGAAAATAAACCTCAAACCAGAACATTATTTATTATTATTGGTTTTAGAAAATCAAATCACAGGAAAAAGATCAACCAGTATTAGCACAGACACACATATACGCATACATTCATATTTATGACTTATTAACATGGACTGTTTAATGTATCTGATTCAAGCTGTGTATTACAATATCCATTTCATCTGAAATCAGGTACTGATTAACAAATATAAACATGGCTTACCTATAACTCATCTTAACCTAGATATTCCTGAAGTGCTTAAAAACTTGACTGATGTTAAAAATACTCCCCAAACTGATCTACAAATTCAATACAATTCCTATCAAAATCCTACCTTCCTTTTTGCAGAAACTGACAAACTGATCCTAAAATTCATATGGAAATGCAACGAATCCAGTATAGCCTAAACAATCTTGGAAAAAAACAAAGTTGGAAGAATCACACTTGGTGATTTCAAAACTTAACACAATGCTATAGTAATCAAGACAATGTTATGTTGACATACTGACAGACATATAGATCAATGGAATAGGACAGGAACTCCAGAAACATTACATTTTGATCATTTAAGTGCCAAGACAATTAAAAGTGGAAAGAATAGTCTTTCCAACAAATGGTGTTGGGACAAGTGGCTACTACATGCAAAAGAATGAAGCTGGATTCCTACTTCACACCATACACAAAAATTAACTCAAAATGTATACGGGATCTAAATGTAAGAGCCTAAACTATAAAACTCTTAGAAAAAAACAGAGGAGTAAATCTCTGTGACCTTGGGTTACACAATGGTTTCTCAGATATGATACCGAGAGCACAAGCAATAAAACAAACAAACAAACAAAAAAGATAAATTGGATTTCATGAGAATTAAAACCTTTGTGCTTCAAAAAAGTGGAAAGACAACCCAAGACTGGGAGAAAATATTTGCAAATCATACATCTAACAAGGGACTTGTATTCAGAATATACAAATAATTGTAACAACTCAACAATAAAAAGACAACTCAATTTAAAAATGTGCAAAGGATTTAAACAGATATTTCTCCAAAGAAGATATACAAATAGCTAATAAACACATGAAAAGATGTTCAACATCAGTAGTGATTAGATAAATGGAAATCAAAACCACAATGAGATACTACTCTACACCCACTGGGATGGCTAAAATAAAAAAAAAAGACAGATGATAACAAGTATTAGCAACGATGTGGAGAAATTAGAAGCCTCAAACATTGCTGGTGGGAATGTAAAATGGTGTAGCCACTTAAGAAAACAATTTGGAAGTTGTTCAAAAGGAAAAACCATAAAGTTACCATATGCCAGCAATTTCACTCCCAGGTATATACTCAAAAGAGAAATAAAAACATATGTCAACAGAAAAACTTGTAAATGAATGTTCATAGCAGCATCATTCATAATTATCAAAAAGTAGAAATAAACCAAAT